TAATGACTGAGCCACCCAGGCGCCCCTCTCCCAAAATCTTTTATGCCATTCTTTAACATACTGCACAGATATATACACATCTGCTCTACTGGGACACAACCGAGAAATGGGTGTGCTCCCTTCTCTCACAGAGTTCTCGATCCAAAAGGGAACACAATGGGCAGTGCCAATCACATGGAGCACTATCAGAAGGGCCCTGTCCCAGAATTGGAGTCCAGAAGTGACACCTAAATTTAGACGTAACAGATGAGTAAATCCTAGGTGAATGGAAAAGGAAGAGTTTCCAAAGGGAATACCATGTTCAAAATCCCACAAACACTGGAAAAACTCAAACGGATTCCTTATGTCTAGGACATAGATTATCAAGTGAGGAGTGGTCAGCAATGAGGCTGGAGAGGTAAGCAGTGTGTGTCAACTCTATTAAGAACTCTGGACTTTATCCCAAAGACTTGGGGAGTCACTGAGGAGATTTCAGCAGAGGAGGGATCTGACAGAATGTTGTATTAAAAAGATGCTCTGGCAGCAGAGTTGTAGATAAGGGGGCCCAGGAAGAACTCACAGAATGAGGAAAGGGCCTAGAATGAAACACCACCACCAATGGCAACAACACAATTAAGTGACAAGCAGAAAGGAACTCACAAAAGGAACAAAGGAGGGACCACAGGGATTGAAGGAAAACCAGGAGTGTGGCAACCCTAAACCAAAGGAAGAAAATTTCAAGAAGCAAGCATAATTAAAGTCAACCACTGCCAAGAGGAACAGTAATCAGAAATTAACACTGGATTTAGCAAGAGGATTAATGATGACTTTGTTGAAAGCAGCTGCAGAGGAATAGAAGTTATATTGCGTTGGACTAAATCAATTGCATCAGTACTCATCCGTCTCCTTCACTCACCATCTGGCTCTGCACTGATGTCTTCCAGATGTGCATCGTAAGTTCAGGTCCCCACTTTGAGCTGCACACCCGGATACCATTGACTACTCAGAATGTCCACTTGATTGGTTCAAAGGTATCTCAAACCCAGCAGGTTCCAAGACCTACTACATTCTCCCCACCCAAACCTGGTCTTCCCCCAGTGCACCTCATCTCAGCAAATGGTACCTCCAGTCTTCCAGCTGCACGATCCATCCATGACAAACCTTTCCCCACCCTGTATCTAAGTCATCATCACGTCTTGTCAATTCTTTCTACCTATGTGTTCCTCTATCCTCACTGCCAACAGTCACATTCAAGCTACCATCTTCTCTCTCATCTAAACCACAGTGGTAGCCTCCTCACTGGTTTCTCACGTCAATGGGCACACCCCTCCATTCCCCACACAGCAGCTGGAGTCATCTTTTTTTTTTTTTAATTATGTTATGTTAATCACCATACATTACATCATTAGTTTTGGAGTCATCTTTTTAAAATACATAGTTGGGGGCGCCTGGGTGGCTCAGTCGTTAAGCGTCTGCTTTCAGCTCAGGTCGTGATCCCAGGGTCCTGGGATCGAACCCTGCATGGGGCTCCCTGCTCAGCAGGAAGCCTGCTTCTCCCTCTACTCCCTACCCATGCTCTCTCTCACTATCTCGGTCTCACTCTCCTAAATAAATAAATGGAATCTTTAAAAAAAAAAAAAAGAGTTCGTTCTTCCAGGGACACTCAATGCATCAGCTTTCCCTCAAGAGTGTAGGCAGAAACAATGAGAGAATAAAAGCCAAATGGAAAAGGTTTATTTTCAAACTAACTGCAAGTTAGAATTATGAAAGTTTGCACCATTTATCATTTTTTTCTTTTCCTTTTCCTTTATTTTTTGGCTCTCTTCCAACTATCAAAGGCTGGACATGGAAAAGGAGATAAAATTCAATGTAATATAATTCTGCTGTGAAAAAGGAGGTTAAAACCAAGAGCAAGAAGGAGATTGTTTCTGAGAATTCTTAAGCCAGTAAAATAAATAATCCTCTGATGTCATTGTATTCACCTTTCCTGTAGAACACATTTGTAAATCTATCACCAGATACTTTATTGCATAATTATTTAATTTTTTTAACTATGGAATAACCCCGGAGTGATAACATGATAAAAGATTACGACTAACTTAAATTTTTAAATTAACTATAACAAATCATAACAAAACAAAGACAGAAAATCAATATTTGTTCCTCTACTTACTAGTTGTTACACAATGAAGAGTATTTGCCTGATGCTTAGAATTTAATGCTTCCATGGAAATCACTAGCTGTCCTTCTAGCAATGCTCCCTTTGATGTTCCTGCTGTTTCACACTTCCAGTGAATTATTAAATATTTCAAAATCTGAAAAGGGCACAATTCAAAGAAAACAAATCTTTAGAAATCATGGCAATATCAAATTTAGATGATAGTTTACAATCCTAATTTTTTTTTATTTATTATTTTTTTTATTTGAGAGAGAGAGAATGAGAGAGAGAGCACATGAGAGGGGTTAGGGTCGGAGGGAGAAGCAGACTCCC